TGGCTCCAGAGCAGAGGGGCTCCACCCTCAGAACATCTCCTTGGTCTCCTCATCCAGCTCCAAGAGCTCCACATCTTTCCCCCATGAGCACAAAGTGACTCCAAAGCCACAGAAATAAAACACATGAGCCACACCAGCTCCATCTCTTAGCCTAGGAGCCCCCCAGAACATCCAGGCTCTTCCAGACAGCTAGGGGACCATGTTTTTGTGGAATGACAGAGAGGGAACACCTGCAGTGAGGCCACTCCAAGTCCCTCTGGCGCTGGTGGCTCCGGCCTCTCGCTCCGCTGGTACTCACAGATCTCCTCCTTGAGCTGCTCCACCTGCAACACACAACACCCCTCTGAGCTCTGCTGGACATTCCATTCTCATATTTGTTATTCATGGATTGCTATTCCCTACCCTGAGGGGTTGGTTGAGATGCTGTGGATGCTCCAGCTGCTGAGTGGTCTCTGTCATAGACATCTTTTTATGAAAATCCTGTCCTTAGGATTTTTCCTCCTGAGAAGCTGAGAGGCATCAGGAACAAATGTAAACATTGATTATCTGCTGTGGAATGCAACAGGTGCATCTGTGATTGGCCCACGTTGGTTGTTTGTAATTAATGGCCAATCACAGCTGGCTCGGACAGAGAGTCTGGGACAGCTGCCTTTGTTATTAATTCCTTTCTATTCTATTCTTAGCCAGCCTTCTGAGATGAAACCCTTTCTTCTATTCTTTTAGTACAGTTTTAATATAACACATATCATAAAATAATAAATCAAGCCTTCTGAAATATGGAGTCAGATCCTCGTCTCTTCCCTCATCCTCAGACCCCCATGAACACGGTCACAGGCCTCAGACAAGGAGCAGCAAAAGTGGGAATGCTGCTGCTCCAATCCATTCAAGAATGATTTCCTGAATTTATTTCACTTCCTGACCTGTCAGATTCCAACTGCTGTTTCTGAGGACACTTTTCAGTGTGTTCCATCCATGGGATCAATGGAATTCCATTTCCAGCAGCAGCTCTTCACAGTCACAGCTCATCCCAGGCCAAGTGCCCAGCCTGTTCCTCCCCTACCCTTCCTAACCCACGGGCAAGAAAACACCTTTCAGGACACCAAGCTGCTGTAGTTGGCAATAAAGCACATTTTCTACTTCTGTAAATTAAAAATTGGGGGGGTCCCAACTTCTGGGCCAACAGTTAAACCCCAGTCCTAAGAATAAAGGGAATTTGCTTTTAGCTTAACATGTGGCTGGAACTGATCTCAATCTGGCCACATTTCTTCCTGTTCAGTGATCAAAATACATTATGTACATGATATGATCAAAATATAATATGGATCTGTATGGTTTTTGTCTATATAGACATATATATATTTATATATTATATAAAATATTATATATATAATTATATATAATATATAAATTATGTAATTATATTAATATAATATATAATATATATATTTTAATATTTTATTTCTACTTCTTTATAAGCTATACATACACTTGTGTATCCATAATGACTAAGAGGAGCAATGTCCTACAACAAGGAAAATATTTGGAACAAAAATACAAGTAAATAGAGGGATTTGAACTAAGTTATGATTTTCTGCAGCTCCAGAAAGAGACTGCTGTAAATACAAGGCTTGAGGTGACAGACATGGAAAAAACAACAATTTTTTCAAATGCAAGGAATAAAACTATAAAAAAAAATCTGTGCTATAAAAAATACTGTAAAATTCTGAACACCTCAAATGGGAATAAATCCAATTCAAGATATTATCTGATAAACATTATTTGAAAAGTATCTTCTCAGAGACACTCGTATTAATTTAGCAACACTCATGTGACATGAGAGATCTGCAAGAGAGCCAAGAGCTCTCAGTGCTGGGATGGCAGAGGCTCTCAAAGGCTGATATAAGGAAATCAGGAGATAAGAACAGCAGTAGATTTTGTGCCCAATTATACATTTTAATAGGAAGCAGACTCTTCTATCCCTTTTCTGTTGGCAACCTCATTAAGGAATTATATGGTTGATAGTTCCTTAATTGCTCCTTAATTCTAGGTGGCATTTAGAGAATCCTGGCTGTACAACACCAAGCATTTCACTAATAGTAATATAAAAAGTCATTCCATTAAGAGAACCAACAGAAAATAAAGAAATCAATCAATGTGGCTGAGTTAAAAACCAAAGGGGCTGAGAGGAATCAAAAATGAGCACAAATTTAAAATGGATTTTCAAATTTATGGGGGTTTCAGGCTAAAGTTAGGTAAAGTGAACTCTTTAATGCAGCCCAGGGAAAGGCTCATGTGTTCCTTACTCTATTTACACACTTGAGTTGGGTTAACCCTGATCAACAGGGAGCTGATTCCTCTGCATGGGCACAGGAAAATGTGTCCCAAAGTCTCCAAGCCACCACTCAGCTGGAGTTCCTCAGACCCCTTCTGCATTGAGGGAAGTTCCCAGAGCTGCATTCTGCCTAAATCCTCAATTTTACTGCTCTGTGAACCCTGCCACAGCCAAACTGCAGCTTTGGGCATGGAACAGTGAGGAGAAAGGAGAAGGCAGGGCAGGTTTGGTATTGAAGAATGGAGGGAGAAGACCCACCTTGCATTGATCAGCATCAACTCCGATTTATTAATCAATCAGACACTTTTTATAACAGTGTTAATCAAGTTCATGCATATTGCAAAATCTGAGCTCACAANAGATGGCAGGCAATGAGTTTGGGGAGATTCTGGGGATGTTTCATGGAGAAATGCATCAGGAGATGGCAGGCAATGAGTTTGGGGAGATTCTGGGGGTGTTTCATGGAGCTCCTGCAGGGAGTCCCACCACAGGGGCTGCACACACCTGGCTGCCCAGAACCTTCTCAGCCTTCAAATCTTCCCTCAGCAGCTCCAGCTCAGATGCCAGCTGCTTTCTCCTTTCTCTCCTCTCTCCCAGCTGACTTCCCAGCTTGTCTATTGTTTCCTGACAGCTTTCCAACATCTGGAACAAGAAAAGTTCAGAGTCACAACCACAGCATCAGAGAGAAGGAGATTGCAGGATTTGTGTCTTCTAGGAAACAAGGAGAGGAGAGGAACAGTTCTCAAATGTTTCCATTGGAATTCCTACACTTATCCAGGGCTCACAGAGACCCAAACCACCTTGGGAAGCTCCTCTCCCATCTCTCTCTGGCTGACACACCAGGCAGACCCAAGGAACAAATGGACAGGAAAGTTAACCCAGAACGTGATGGGGATCAGCTTTAAATGCACCCACACATCCCCTGGTTTCACTAAACCCACAACAAGAATTGAGCACCTTCACACAGGTGAAAACTTCACACTCATGGGGAGACAACAAACTGCTCAGCTGCCAGAGCTGAAGGCAAGAACTTCCTAGGGGAGAGTTTTTGGCTGCTTTCCTCCAGTGATCCATGAGGAGCTACAGATCCTCAGGAGAGGGTGACAAAGAGCATCCACAGGAAAAAAAACCACTTCAGATGCTCATTTAAAATGCTGATTTAAAACATTTCTAAACAGAACAGTTCATTTCCCAAGGAAAAGCTCTCACCTCCTGCATCTCCTGAGCTCCAGACGTCACCTGCTCGTTCCCATCCAGCTCACTTTTGTTCTTCTGCACCTCAAACAACTCTGTTTCCAAACTGGTGATCTGAACATGGACAAATGCCAAGTTAAAACCAAACCAGGACTCTCAACCAAATGCACAGCTACTCCTGAAGTGCTCCTTGTGCTGCTGTGTTGAAGATTGCAATCTGCCAGATTCCCTTTCCTTAGGCTTGAAACCCGTTTGGGCTTATTTCTAAAACCCCTGGCTGGACTGCCTGAGCTTGGCTCTACTGAGATGAGCTGGGACACCAGAGGGAGATGAAATCCAACCCCATAGAACCCCAGATTGGTTCTGGAGATCCCAGAATCCCAGGATGGATTGGGTTGGAAGGGACCTTAAAGCTCATCCTGTTCCATGGGCAGGGACACCTTCCACTATCCCAGGTTGCTCCAAGCCCCCTCCAACCTGGCCTTGGACACTTCCAGGGGTGGGGCAGCCACAGATCCTCTGGACAACCTGTCCAGGGCCTCCCCACCCTCACAGACAAGAAATTCTCCCTCATATGTAATCCCAAAGCCAAAGAAGTACCAAATCCCTGCTAATCCCAGTCCATTCCCACAGCAGCTCCTCAAAGCCCCTGAGCTCTGCTCTCCCTGAGGAGCTCCTGGCACCAGCTGGGTCTGCTGGAGCTCCCAGAAGGGAATGGTCTCTTCCCAACACACAGGAAAGCTGCTGCAACTCTGCTTTTTAAATCAAAGATATGAGCCCACAAATGTGTGAGGAGGTATTAAAAGTGGGGGAAACACCCAGACCTCCCACAGAAGAGCTAAAGGACAACAAACCCCTCTCCTTCTGCATGATTGGATGATAATTTGGGGTTCAGCAACACTTTGGAGCCCCAAAAGGGATCTCAAATGCAAAACACACCTCCCCTCCTCACCCCCAGTCAGCCTTTGGTCAGAAGTTGATATCCAGCAACGCATTTCTTTAGTCTCCATCCAAGCCATTAACTTTTAAGCACCTCATTTGTGCTCCCAAATCCCATGCCAGCAGCAGAACAATCCTCACTCTGTATCCCACTGTCCTGCTCCTGAGTCACAGCCTGACCAGCCAAGGCTTCTGCAGCTGTGCCAGCACCAAAAACCCTCCCAAGCCCTTCCCAGCAGGGCAGGACTGGAAAACACCCAGCAGGCTCCAGCCCCCTCCCCAGGGCTCTTTAAGCCCCCTGGGAATGCAGGACACAGCAGATGAATCCATCCAGGGTTAAACCCCACCTCCTCCTCCATCCTGCCTCTGCTCTGCATCCCCCAAAATGGTTCTTTGTTGTGGGGTCCCAGCTGTGGGTTTCTCTGGGTCTGGATTGAAGGCACTGAACAGCAGTTCATGTGCACACTCAGGTGTTTATTATTTCTTATCACTAAAACAGCCTCACTGCTGTGAGTTCTGCAGCTTTTCATTAGAAGGCACAAAATGGCCACAGTCTCTTGGTACAAGGGCTTTTCAGAATAAACTGTCCCATTAAGAACTGACACCTGGATTATTTCCCCTTTTAACCCAATAACTGATCCCACAGAGCTGCAATGCAGACTTCTCTGCACAATTACAAAATGCCACCCAAACCCATGGAGAAGGAGGAAGAAGCAGCATGAAGAAGAAACCCAGGATAGAGCAGAAATTCTGGCTGGTTTTCCTGTCAAACCAAACACAGCAGAGTGCAGGGCCACCTCAAACATCATTCTATTTTTCCAATCAGAGAGAAAAGTAGACGGAATGAAAGAAACCTAAACCTTGTCTCTCCCACTCCTTACTCACCTTCTGGTGCAGTCCCTCCACTTTGCTTTCCTGCTTGCTTTGGCTCTGTGTCTCTCCCAGGATTGATTCCAGCTTCTCATTGTGCTCAACCAAACCCTCTTGTTCCTGCTCCAGTTTTTGCAGCTTGTGAAGGAGCTGGGAATTCCTGCCCTCAGTGCTCTCCATGGCTTCCCTGCACCTGCACAGCAAAACCCAACATCACCAGGCTGGAAATGCATCCCAAGTGCTCCAGGGAGGAAAAGCCAAAGTTTTTCTGACATTCTCTGCTGGTTTGCAGTTTCACATCCAGCATGGCCTTATTTAGATGGGAATTAGGTGTGATGGGGTCTACACAAGGGATGATGAAGGTCTGGGATGAAACAGGTCAGGCATGAGGCTGCCAACAGCAAATTCAGCTGCTTGAGGTGGAGAACAGGCTTGGGAAGCTGAAGGGAAAAGGGTCAGAGGGCTTTTGGAAGAGGATCAGCTCTGATCCTCCCTGAACCTGCCAGATGAAGTGCAGCACCTCCTGAGCAGGTATTGGGAGAACAAAGCTTTGAATTCCCTTAGGAATCCATGTTTCCATATTTCTGCACTCTTGGAGAGCAACCAAATCCAAAGAAAATTTCCCAGCACTAAAACATGTTTAAAAACAAGGATTTTAAACAACAAGATTTTTAAAGAACAGTTTTTTGTATGTGGAGAGCCCCAAAAGCCCAACTCTCTTCTTTTAGGAAAGCAACAAACTGGAGGAAGTATCAGCATTAAACTGGAAGAGGTGATTCCTCAGGACTGCATCTCCTCCAAATTTTCCCATTTGGGAGCAGAAGAACAAAGCCCTAAAGAGGATTGAAAACAACTCAATAATCAAATAATCCTGCAAGAGAGAGCAGCAGTGACACGGCACCAGGAACCAGTGGAAGTACAAGGGGTGAAGGATTTCTGCACCTCTCACCTTTTGTGCAGAGTTTCCACACCCTGATCCCCATGTTCCTGATATGGGGCAGCTCTGCTGGCACCAGGGTCTCCATCAGCTCCTGCTTCCTCCTGTGTGCCCTGTGCCTGAGAGAAAACCAACATCAGCACAGAACTAGGATTGAAATCCCAGAATCATAGCATGGATTGGGTTGGAGGGACCTTAAAGCTCATCCTGTTCCATGGGCAGGGACACCTTCCACTATCCCAGGTGGCTCCAAGTCCCATCCAACCTGGCCTTGGACACTTCCAGGGATGGGGCAGCCACAGCTGCTCTGGGCAAACTGTGCCTCACCACCTCCAGAGCCAGGAATTCCTTCCCCATACCCCATCTGACCCTGCCCTCTGGCAGTGGCAGCCATTCCCTGTGTCCTGTCCCTCCATCTCCTGTCCCAATTCCCTCTCCAGCTCTCCTGGAGCCCCTTTAGGCCCTGCAAAGGGCTCTGAGATCTCCATGGAGCTTCTCCAAGTGAGCACTCCCAGCTTTCCCAGCCTGGCTCCAGAGCAGAGGGGCTCCACCCTCAGAACATCTCCTTGGTCTCCTCATCCAGCTCCAAGAGCTCCACATCTTTCCCCCATGAGCACAAAGTGACTCCAAAGCCACAGAAATAAAACACATGAGCCACACCAGCTCCATCTCTTAGCCTAGGAGCCCCCCAGAACATCCAGGCTCTTCCAGACAGCTAGGGGACCATGTTTTTGTGGAATGACAGAGAGGGAACACCTGCAGTGAGGCCACTCCAAGTCCCTCTGGCGCTGGTGGCTCCGGCCTCTCGCTCCGCTGGTACTCACAGATCTCCTCCTTGAGCTGCTCCACCTGCAACACACAACACCCCTCTGAGCTCTGCTGGACATTCCATTCTCATATTTGTTATTCATGGATTGCTATTCCCTACCCTGAGGGGTTGGTTGAGATGCTGTGGATGCTCCAGCTGCTGAGTGGTCTCTGTCATAGACATCTTTTTATGAAAATCCTGTCCTTAGGATTTTTCCTCCTGAGAAGCTGAGAGGCATCAGGAACAAATGTAAACATTGATTATCTGCTGTGGAATGCAACAGGTGCATCTGTGATTGGCCCACGTTGGTTGTTTGTAATTAATGGCCAATCACAGCTGGCTCGGACAGAGAGTCTGGGACAGCTGCCTTTGTTATTAATTCCTTTCTATTCTATTCTTAGCCAGCCTTCTGAGATGAAACCCTTTCTTCTATTCTTTTAGTACAGTTTTAATATAACACATATCATAAAATAATAAATCAAGCCTTCTGAAATATGGAGTCAGATCCTCGTCTCTTCCCTCATCCTCAGACCCCCATGAACACGGTCACAGGCCTCAGACAAGGAGCAGCAAAAGTGGGAATGCTGCTGCTCCAATCCATTCAAGAATGATTTCCTGAATTTATTTCACTTCCTGACCTGTCAGATTCCAACTGCTGTTTCTGAGGACACTTTTCAGTGTGTTCCATCCATGGGATCAATGGAATTCCATTTCCAGCAGCAGCTCTTCACAGTCACAGCTCATCCCAGGCCAAGTGCCCAGCCTGTTCCTCCCCTACCCTTCCTAACCCACGGGCAAGAAAACACCTTTCAGGACACCAAGCTGCTGTAGTTGGCAATAAAGCACATTTTCTACTTCTGTAAATTAAAAATTGGGGGGGTCCCAACTTCTGGGCCAACAGTTAAACCCCAGTCCTAAGAATAAAGGGAATTTGCTTTTAGCTTAACATGTGGCTGGAACTGATCTCAATCTGGCCACATTTCTTCCTGTTCAGTGATCAAAATACATTATGTACATGATATGATCAAAATATAATATGGATCTGTATGGTTTTTGTCTATATAGACATATATATATTTATATATTATATAAAATATTATA